ATTATAGTTTTACAAGGTTCATTGCTATGAAATTCTGGGTGTTGTCGTATTACATGGCTAACTGCTATGGAATCCTGGGAGTTGTAGTTTTAAAAGGCTCAGTGCTATGAAATTCCTGGAGTTGTATTATTACACAGCTCACTGCTATGGAATCCCGGGAGTTATAGTTTTAGAAGGTTCACTGCTATGTAACCCTGGGAGTTGTAGTTTCACAAGGCTCAGTGCTATGGAATCCTGAGAGCTGTAGTTTTACAAGGTTCACTGCTATGAAATTCCTGGAGTTGTATCATTACACAGGTCACTGCTATGGAATCCAGGGAGTTATAGTTTTAGAAGGTTCACTGCTATGAAACCCTGGGAGTTGTAGTTTCACAAGGCTCATTGCTGTGGAATCCTAAGAGCTGTAGTTTTATAAGGTTCACTGCTATCAATTCTGGGAATTGTTGTATTACATGGCTAACTGCTATGGAATCCCGAGAGCTGTAGTTTTAAAAGGGTCACTGTTATGAAATTCCATGAGTTTTAGTATTACACAGCTCACTGCTATAGAATCCCGTGAGTTAAAGTTTTACAAGGTTCACTGCTATGTAACCCTGGGAGATGTAGTTTCACAAGGCTCATTGCTATGGAACCTTGAGAGCTGTAGTTTTACAAGGTTCACTGCTATGAAAATCCTGGAGTTGTAGTATTACACATCTCACTGCTATGGAATCCTGAGAGCTGTAGTTTCACTGGTGTGAAATTCTGGTAGTTGTAGTATTACATGGCTCACTGCTATGGTATGCTGGGAGTTACAATTTTACAAGGCCTTTTGCATTTTCTGCCAAAGAGTGCCAGGGCCTCACCAAACTACAAGTCCCAGGACCTCATAGAATTGAACCTTAGTATTGAACCACATTCATTTTACAATCTGACTCCTTTCTTTCTTGGCAAAAGAAATAAAAAGTTCCAGGAATTTGAAATCAAGATCAGATCGAAAGAGGAGTGGAAGGTCTCTCTCTCTCTTTTCGGATTCCAGTAAAAATATTGCAAAATCTTTCCCTTCCCAAAATAAACAAATAATAATACTGAAAATTCCAAAAAGTGATAAGAATAATATAGGGAGAAGGTGGATAGTCTAAAGCAAGCATGGGCAAACTTCAGCCCTCCGGGGGTTTTGGACTACAACTCCCACAACCAATGCTCTTTGGTTGTAGGTGAACTATAAATCAGAGCAACGACAACTCCCAAATGTCAAGGACTATTTCCCCCAAACTCCACCAGTGTTCACATATGGTTATATTGAGTATTTGTGCCAAGTTTGGTCTAGATCTATCGTTGTTTGAGTTCACAGTGCTCTCTGGATGTAGGTGAACTACAACTCCAAAACTCAAGGTGAATGCCTACCAAACACTTCCAGTATTTTCTCTTGGTCATGGGAGTTCTGTGTGGGAAGTTTGGCCCAATTCTATCATTGGTGGAGATCAGAATGTTCTTTGATTGTAAGTGAACTATACATCCCAGAAACAACTCCCAAATGTCAAGGTCTATTTTCCCCAAACTCCACCAGTGTTCACATTTGGGCATATTGAGTATCCGTGCCAAGCCTGGTCCAGATCCATCGTTGTTTGAGTTCACAGTGCTCTCCGGATGTAGTTGAACTACAACTCCAAAACTCAAGGTCAATGCCCACCAAACTCTTCCAGTATTTTCTCTTGGCCATGGGAGTTCTGTGTGGGAAGTTTGGCCCAATTCTATCACTGGTGGAGTTCAGAATGTTCTTCGATTGTAGGTGAACTATAAATCCTAGCAACTACAACTCCCAAATGTCAAGGTCTGTTTTTCCCAAACGGCACCAGTGTTCACAATAGGGCATATTGAGTATCCGTGCCAAGTCTGGTCCGGATCCATCGTTGTTTGAGTTCACAGTGCTCTCCAGATGTAGTTGAACTATAATTCCAAAACTCAAGGTCAATGCCCACCAAACTCTTCCAGTATTTTCTCTTGGTCATGGGAGTTCTGTGTGCCACATTTGGTTCAATTCCATCCTTGGTGGAGTTCAGAATGCTCTTAAGTTGTAGGTTAAGTAAACATCCCAGCAACTACAACTCCCAAATGATGAAATCAACTGTATTAAGGGGTTGCGGCATTAGGAAGGTTGAGAACCACTAGTCTATTGGCTCCTGAATGTTATGAATGTGGTTCTAGTTCTGGAGCTTATGCACATTTTGGGGACCCTTTCGGTCTCCCCAAACGTACGATACCCCCACAAATGTACCTTTATTGACTTCCAACTCTTGCCCTTTGACCCAGGGAAGAGTAAATCTTTTTGGGGGGAAGTTTGGGAGGAGGAAAGGGAGGATGCGGTGGGTCTACTGGGAACCAGTCCAAGGCTCTTCAGTGGTGCTGGTCCGCCTCTCCCTTCCTTCTCTTTCTCGCTCTGTCTCTCAACTCCAGCCTCCCAGTTTTATCTTCCTTTCTTTCCTTCTTTTTTTTGCGCCGAATTAAATCCTTGATTAACCCTTATCTTGCCAGCTTGGCGGCTATCTCTCCTGTGGCGCCGCATGTCCAGACAACCGGTGCAGGATGATTGATTTCTTAAAGATAGGCCTCGGCTGCTTTTTTCTGATACTTCGTTTATTGTCTAAATATTTTTGCTCCCATTTCAGCAGCTTCCCTTATCAAGCCCTGTTGATGGTTCCCAGCCCTGACTCAACTGCCTTCCCTCCTCCCCCGTTGACTCTTTCTCTTTCTTTCTTTCTTTCTTTCTTTCTTTCTTTCTTTCTTTCTTTCTTTCTTTCTTTCTTTTCCTTCCTTTTTACCTTTCTCCCTTTTCTTTCTTTTCCTTCCTCTTTCTTTCCTTCCTGCTTCCTTTCCTTCCACTCTCTCTTCATGTTTGTTCTATCCTTCCTTGTTCACTTCTTTCATCTTCCTTTCTTTCCTGCTTCACTTCCCTCCTCCCTCCCTTCTAATCTTTCTTCTAATCTTTCTTTATTCCTTTTCCTTCCATCCTGTCTTCTTTCAATTTCTCTTCTATCCTTCCTTGTTCCCTTCTTTCTTCCTTTTTTCTCCTTCTCTTCCTTTCTTCCTTTCCTCCCTCCCTCCAATTTCTTTATTCCTTTCTTATTTCTTTTCCTTCCATCCTGTCTTCTTTCAATTTTTCTTCTATCCTTCCTTGTTCCCTTCTTTCTTCCTTTTTTCTCCTTCTCTTCCTTCCTTCCTTTCCATCCTCCCTCCAATTTCTTTATTCCTTTCTTATTCCTTTTCCTTCCATCCTGTCTTCTTTCAATTTTTCTTCTATCCTTCCTTGTTCCCTTCTTTCTTCCTTTTTTCTCCTTCTCTTCCTTCCTTCCTTCCTTTCCATCCTCCCTCCAATTTCTTTATTCCTTTCTTATCCCTTTTCCTTCCATCCTGTCTTCTTTCAATTTTTCTTCTATCCTTCTTTCCTTCCTTCCTCCCTTCCGTCCTTTTTTATCTCCCTTTCCTTCTTTCTTTCTTTCCTTCTTTCCTTCTTTCTTTCTTTCTTTCTTTCTTTCTTTCTTTCTTTCTTTCTTTCTTTCTTTCTTTCTTTCCATCCTCCCTCTCCCCAATTTCCCCCCTTCCTTATTTTCCTTCCATCCTCCCTCCCCTTAATGTTTTCTTCTATCATTACTTCCTTCCTTTTTTCTCCTTTTCCTTCTTTTTTCTTTCCATCCTCCCTCCAATTTCTTTTTTTCTTTCTTATTTCTTTTCCTTCCATCCTCTCTCCCATTTTTCTTCTATCCTTTTTTCCATCCTCCCTCCTTCCAACTTCTTTTTCTTTTCCCCTTCCTTACTTATTTTCCTTCCATCCTCCCTCCTCTTAATTTTTTCTTTTATTCTTCCTACCTTCCTTCCTTTTTTCTCCTTTTCCTTCTTTTTCTTTTTTTCTTTCCATCCCCCCTCCAATGTCTTTTTTCCTTTCCATACTGCTTTTTCTTCAATTCTTCCGTCCTTCAGTTTTTTCTTCTATCCTCCTTTCCTTCCTTCCTTGTTCGCTTCCTTTCTCTCCTTCCCTGTCTTTTTTTCTCATTCATCCTCCTCCTCTTTCTCCAATTTCTTTTTCTTCTATCATTCCTTTCTTCTTCCCTTTCTTTTTTCTCCTTCCACCTCTCTTTTCCCCTTCCTTCCTTCTTTTCCTCCCACCACCATTCCTTCATTTTTACTTGAATCCTTCCTTCCTTTCCCCTTCTTTCCATCTTTCCTTTCTTTCCTTTTCCTCTGTCTATTTTTCTCCTTTCTTCTTTCCTTCCCTGATTCTTCCATCTTCCCCTCCCTCCTTCCCTTCTTTCTTTCCCTCCTGATTCCACAACCCTGACAGATCATTGCATATCCAAATTTAGGATTTGTTATCCGCAGGGACGTCCTTTTATTTTTGCAGATTTCACCTAAATCCCATTTATGACTTTGGGTGCATTTATGCAATAGAACTAATGCAGTTTGAGCCAAGTTGTAGTTTTGCAAGAGGTTTAATCTCCCCTACCAAAGAGTGTTCCTGCCTTGTCAAACTAGAACTTCCAGGATTGGAGTTTTGACACACTCCCAGGGGTGTCAAAACTGCACTCATTCTACAGTGCAGATGCATCAAGATGCTCTTTCCCTTTTTTGCCTTAACTCTTGTGCATCTTTTTGCACATTCATTGGTCACCTGCATGCGCTCACGGTTGTCGAATGCGGATTAAATGGCCTGAACCCAACGGAGCCGCAGCGCAGCAGCGGGAAATTAAGCCCGTCTCCTGTTGGGATTTCAAAACGAAACATTGCAGGTCTGTTGCAAAAAGGGAAGCTTTCGAGAAATAATAGGATTAGCTACACAGGGGAGGTTGTTACCTGTGGACGGTCACTTTGCTACCAGAAAAGCTTGGGATGATTATCCTTTGGATGGATTGCAAATCCCAGAATTCCCCCCAAAGTTGGGAATTGCAATACACCAAAAGGAAAACCATTCCACATGGAAAAAACAATATTCTTCGTTACTATAAGCAATTGCTTTGTATCTTTACCTGCTCTCCATGTCCAGGAGATGAGGCTTCACTTTGGATGTTGCCCCGATAGGGACCCCACGACAATCCTTCCGGCACATTTTGCTTGGCCCACAGCTTTTTTCCCTCCTCGGAAGTCATCATCTCCAGCTCAGCTATTAATAAATATGAGAAATGTACATTCATTAATGACCTTTCGCTTTGCATCAGATGGAAATTGAATGCAAAGATGCAGTGATGTTGGTGCAATGTTGTTTCCAACTTATGGGGCTTTTCTTCTGTTGAGTGTGGGTCTCAAGAGTCTACGGCTGGATCTACATTGCCATCTAACACAGCCTGAAACTGAATTATATGCTCAGTATAGATCCATATAGGGCACTATGAGTTTCAGATTGCATTATACGGCAGTATTGAGCCAGCCGTCATCTACGGGGGTTGAATGAAAAGTAATGCCTCCACCTTCGTTACTTGGGCTTGGATAGGAATATTTTAATAAATCAAATGCAGAAATAATCCTTAGATTTTGCTCTTTATCTACCGCTATTTATTATTTGTTTATTTATTTACAGCATTTTTACCCCTCCCTTCTCAACCCCCCCTGGGTGGTGGTGGGGGACTCAGAGCGGCTAACAAAGGCAGCAATTCGATGCCACAAATCAATCAATAACACAGTATAAAACCATAAATACATACAGAGTTAAAACAATAGCAATTAATTATAACCAATTATCATAACAGTAATTAAAACAATACTCAGTCAACCCTATTCACTTTCCCACATAATCACCACATAATTCCCACATAATCACCAGACAATTGGATACATTTCTGCCAACGATGAACAAGTTTTCTGAAGCTGTCACGGAAGAAGTCGACACTCTCTTTCCGCAACCCATCGTGCATAGATCTTCCGATAGCCAAGCAAAGCAATAATGTGACCCACACGTTCTTGTGAAATGCTCATTATGCTTGAAATTTCTCTCGGAGTGATATGACGATCGTACTGAATCAATCTGTCAACCTTTTGCTTGTGAAACTCAGTAGTTGCTGTCACAGGACGTCCAACTCTTTGTCCTGCAAGTCAGATGTTCCCACCTCAACATCTTTAAACTTACTCGCCCAAAGACGCACAGTACTCACATCAACACAATCACCATCAACAGCTTGCATTCTCTTATATATCTCCTTTGGGGTGACACCTTTCACTGTCAAGAATTCAATGACTGCACGTTGCTTAAGTCGCATTGACCAACCGTCTGTGCAGGGTTCCGTACTTCGCACTTTAACAACACAACTGTTCAATGCTAAGGCCTCCCGTCAAAACAGAACTGTAGAGGAGAGTCTACTGAACAAGCTAGTACCTGCTGCATACCAGTACTGCTATCTGTTGAGGAGTTACGAAGGTGGAGGCATTACTTTTCATTCAACCCTCGTACATTTAGAAGTAATGCAGTTTGGCCCCGCTTGAACTGCCATGGCTCAATGGAGTTGTAGATTGTCAGCATAGATGAAACTCTCTGTCCCTTCTGGCAGTGACTGATCATTTGTGTAAAGTTTCATCTATACTGATGATCATGTTTCATCTATGCTGATGATTGCGCCATCACCACCCAAGCAGGGAGCTTTGAAATGGTTGAACAGAAGCTCTCTGAAACTTGAGGTGGTCTTACTGTCTTATTACATGGAAAACCAACTGATTCCTAATCCATCTAAAATACAGGCGAGTGGGTTTTCACTTTAAGAAGAGACATCATCTCGAGCTCTGAGGATGACCTAGGAAGGAATCCCACTGGAGCATTGCAGCACATCCAAATCCCTGGGAGTCACTCTGGACCGTGCTCTGACTTATAAGAAGCACTGCTAGAGTATCAAGCAAAAAGTGGGTGCTAGAAACAATATCATACGGAATCTGACTGGCACAACCTGTGGATCATAACCAGACACAGTGAAGACATCTGCCCTTGCATTTTTCTACTCTGCTCCTGAGTACGCATGTCAGTGTGGTTTACATCGCACCATGTTAAAACAGTGAATGTGGCTCTTAATGAGACATGCCGCATTATCATAGGATGTCTATATCCTACACCGCTGGAGAAACTATACTGTTTAGCATCACCTGACATCTACTGGGAAGTAGCAGCCAATAATGAAAGAACCAAGGCAATGCTACCCATGCTCTATTCTGCCTTGGTTAGACCACACCTGGAATATTGTGTCCAATTCTGGGAACCACAATTGAAGGGAGATATTGACAAGCTGGAATGTGTCCTGAGGAGGGCGACTCAAATGATCAAGGGTCTGGAGAACAAGCGCTATGAGGAGCGGCTTAAAGAGCTGGGCATGTTTAGCCTGAAGAAGAGAAGGCTGAGAGGAGACATGGTAACCATGTATAAATACGTGAGGGGAAGTCATAGGGAGGAGGGAGCAAGCTTGTTTTCTGCTGCCCTGGAGACTAGATGCGGAACAATGGCTTCAAACTATAACAAAGGAGATTCCATCTGAACGTAAGGTAGAACTTCCCGACTGTGAGAGCTATTCAGCAGTGGAACTCTCTGCCCCGGAGTGTGGTGGTGGCTCCTTCTTTGGAAGCTTTTAAACAAAGACTAGATGGCCATCTGTTGGGCGGGCTTTGAATGCAATTTCCCTGCTTCTTGGTATGGAGTTGGACTGGATGGCCCATGAGGTCTCTTCCAACTCTAGGATTCTATGATAAGTCATCTGCCCTTGCATTTTGCTACTCTGCTGCTGAGTACGCATGCCCAGTGTGGTTTACATAGCACCACGTTAAAACAGTGGATGTGGCTCTTAATGAGACATGCCGCATTATCACAGGATGTCTACACCCTACACCGCTGGAGAAATTATACTGTTTACCATCACCTGACATCCGCTAGGAAGTCGCAGCCAATAATGAAAGAACCAAGGCGGTGACATCTCTGGCCCACCCCTTGTTCGGATATCAGCCAGCATGCCAACGCCTTAAATCAAGAAATAGTTTTCTAAGATCTACAGCGATACTTGCAAGAACACCTCAGCAAGCGAGAGTCCAAAAGTGGCAGGCTAAAACCCAGGACCTTAATCCATGGCTGATACCAAATAAGAGACTCCCTCCTGAGCACACAAAGAGACTGAGTGACTTGGAAGGTGCTGAACAGACTGCGCTCTGGCACCACGAGATGCAGAAATGGGGCCACAAAGTGGAGTCCACGCAATGCGAGTGCGGAGAAGAACAAAGCACATTCCACCTATTACAATGCAGTCTGAGCCCTGGCACATGCACAATGGAGGACCTTCTTATAGCAACACCAGAGGCATCCAAGCGGCCGGATTCTGCTCAAAGGACATTTAGTATCATGCCAAGTTTTCTAAACTTTGTGTTTTTTAAATACATTACAACCACACCCTTGGTCCACTTCTGACACGACAAATAAAAATGGAGTCGTAGTTTGCCAGAAAAAGCCTCAAGACCTTGTAAAACTATAACTCCTGTGATTCTACAGGGGTTAAAAAGTGGTGTCAAACTGCATCAACACTATAACAATTGGGAGGGAATAATTATGCTTCGCAGTGCACCAGATCCAAACCCAAATGGATCCCTTTGCTTGCAAAAGCAATAGGCTGCGGCTTCTCCAAACACAGAGTTTTGGGAGTTGCAGTTCCCACAAAGAGCCGAGCTTGGGAATGTGAACTGCTCAACGTGCGCAGCGCATGTCGAGAGTCTCCTCTCTCTTTCCTGATGTAGGTGACTGCTTTCCTGGAACCTTTTACTTCCTTCTCCGGAGCGTTTGATGTGGATCAACGGAACGGAGCAATCCGGTTTCAAAGCCCACGCAGGGCGCCCGTCCGCACTGGATCCCATCCAACCTCCCTTTCCAGGGCCTCCTCCTTCCACCGCTTTGTCCATTTCTCCTGGGCCCCTTTTCTCCCTGTTTTCCAACCCAAGGTGAGTCTCCCTTTCCCATCCATCTGTGGTATTGCTTAGCTGCCACCTTATCTGCCCGCTGAAAGATGAAGGTGCAGCTAAAACATTTTCGGCCGCCCGATTTCCATGTTATCTTGGCCATTAAACCCAGGCGCTTATCGGCCCATCGGGGCCATTAAGCGTGCTCCAAGCAGAGGGTCCTAATGAAGCCAAATGGAGAGGCTCCCTTACTCCAGGCATAAGAATCACTGCATCCTAGAGTTAGGAGGGGCACCCAAAGGCCATCCAGTCCAACCCTATTATTAAATATAGACATGGATTGAGTGGCCCATTGATTGGATCATAGAATCCTAGATTTGGAAGGGGTACCCAAAGGCCATCCAGTCCAACCCTATTATTAAATACAGAAATGGATTGGTTGGCCCATTAACTGAATTATAGCATCCTAAGGTTGGAAGGGGCACCCAAAGGCCATCCAGTCCAACTCTATCATTAAATATAGAAATGGACTGATTAGCCCATTAATTGAATTATAGCATCCTAGGGTTGGAAGGGGCACCCAAAGGCCATCCAGTCCAACCCTATTATTAACTATAGAAATGGATTGATTGGCCCATTAATTGAATTATAGCATCCTAGGGTTGGAAGGGGAACCCAATGGGCATCCAGTCCAACCCTATTATTAAATATAGAAATGGATTGATTGCATTATAGCATCCTAGGGTTGGAAGGGGCACGTAAAGGCCATCCAGTCCAACCCTATTATTAACTATAGAAATTGATTGATTGAATTATAGCATCCTAGGGTTGGAAGGGGCACCCAAAGGCCATCCAGTCCAATTCTATTATTAAATATAGAAATAGATTGATTGGTCCATTGATTGAATCATAGAATCCTACTATTAGAAAGAGCACCCAATGGCTATCCAGTCCAACCTGATTTTGCCATGCAGAATGACACAATGAAAGCCCTCCCGACAGATGGCCATCCAGCCACTGTTTAAACACACCCAGAAAAGAGACACGTGAGCAGGCTGAAATCCTATTTATTTATTTATTTATTTACCTTACTTATATACCGCTGTTCTCAGCCCGAAGGCGACACAGCGGTTCACAACAAATACGAACAGCAAAAATTCAGTGCTACAGTATAGAAACAGTTAACAACCTAAATCCTAGTCTTTCATAGAATCACAGAGTTGGAAGGGGCACGCAAAGGCCATTCAGTCCAAC